TCAGAATCGAGTATTCAACTAACATGTAATCAAAATGTCTGTTTGTTACTGATGGCCTGGGGCCTCATTTATAAAGCCTTCCGTAGGGTTGACGGGGAAGGTTGCTTACGTAGGACAAAGCAAATAAATACGCAAAGACATTTTCCGATTCATAAAAGACTGCGTACCGGCGCAGGACTGCGTACGGCACTCCTACCTACGCCGGTTTCCCTTTATAAATCACAATCAACTCGAAATGCGGCGCAGCTTTTGCGGGCTTCACGTAACGCCCATATGCTATAAATAGTCAAAGAACGCCCATTCATTCATTCATTCATCATTCATTCATTCATTCATTCATCCATTCATTCTGACTGACTGCATGAAGTAGATCAGGAAATGAGGACAGAACAGCTAAAAAAACACTCTCTCACCGAGTCAGATTTAGGTTATTGTGGGAGGTGGAGATAAATCATATTGTTTGGTGGATGCAGTTTGAACCAGAGGCAGCATGGAGGTCGGATCGTCACCAACATAAATATAAGTGGTCCGAAAAAAGTTAATGACAAAATAAATACAATAGCCTTCCTCAGGCAGTGTGTTTCCCGGGGACAGGAGACCCCCCCCCTTGATGAGAAACTGTAAGAAATGATGGGGGAATCCCTCCGGAGTGTAGTCATGACGACTGGATCTGAATGATTGTTTGTATTTGGTGGTTTGTGTTCCAGCTGTCGATCAGCAACTATATCTCCATAATCCACCAGTTAAAGGAAATACAATGTGTTGTGTTTATTAGCTGTTTACCACATATGGTGTTCTTAGTTTCCATACCTCCTGGGTTTTACGAGCCACTTATCAAGTCTTGGCAAACGGCATAAAACACGATTAAACGTGATAGGATATAAAACCATGCTCGTATCTACCACCTATAGAAATGCAAAACGGCGTCAGTTTAGACGTTATTCTGTCCCTCCTGCTTACAACGGTCATTACAGTCCTTGACAGCGGTCTGTTCTACTGGATTTACAACGTGTCACGTGTTCTGAATGGACCAATCAGAAATCGAGTATTCAACTAAACCGTGTAATCAAAATGTCTGTTTGTTACTGAATCCTTTCTAATTACTCTGAGAACTTTTTCTTTAGCCTCCGTTATTGTTCACGGTTGAAGGTGGAACATGTGTTTAGATTCTTAAGTGAGCCTGAGTGGATAAGGTTAGGAACCGCTGCTCTGCAGTGATGAGTTTCTGAAGCATGTGGGGGGGGGGGCTGACCTGCTGCAGCTGGTTGGCCTGCAGGATCTCAGGGACAGACACAGGGAGACACAAGTTGACTCAGATCAGTGTCCTCTCTCCTTCAGAGCCACCAGAGCTGCCGAACAGGTTCTGGTTCATCTGCCAGACAGAGACACAAAGCCTTTAGTAATACCACACCAAGTGCTCTACATTACAATACAGATACTTACACGTGGAAAAGAGTAACTATTACAAATAAAAAATAGTATAAACAATATTCAATGGTGTAATGATGGTTAAAAGTTCTTTAGAAAGTATATGAAGTAAATAGTAAAGAAACAAAGATCTCAGGAACAAAGAGTCCTCTGTTTACGTCGCTCATCACCGTCTGTGGACAAAGAGCCTCACCTTCCTCAAGACAGAGGAGTCTTGCTCTGGTAACTGCGCCAGAGAGAACAGTCCTCGATGTCCCTCAGACTCCAGGTGAGACGGAGACTCCTCCAGCATTCTGAGACAAGGAAAGACGAGGCAAGGTTTTATGCTTTATGAACGGGGACAACAGAGAAACATAGGAAAGGAAAGAGAAACTTATGCTCGTCACCCCTCTCCCTCCGGTCCACATTAATACAAATGATCCCAATACGTAGGACTGTATGAAAAGATCTTAAAATCAATACAAATGTATTTATTATAAACGTTAGTCCTTAACATCTATCACTGTGTATAATTAATACATTTGTATTGATTTTAAGATCTTTTCATACAATCATACGTATTGGGATCATTTGTATTAATGTGGACCGGAGGGAGAGGGTGACGAGCATAAGTTTCACTTTCCTTTTTTATTTCAATTCCAACTTTGGTCATGAAGAATATGTTTCTCTGTTGTCCCCGTCATAAAGCATAACAGCATCAGAGCACGGTGCAGAGTCTCTAGTATGAGTTTACAGTAGTCCCTCGTTCTTATTAAACATCCATGTTGTAGTCCGCTGTATAGAAAACTGTAGTTTCCATAGTTTCCCCACAGCAGCAGACGCACATTCATGACGTCACGCTGGCGCATCATAAACACGTCGGATAGTGAGAGTGCAGTCGATTCTCTAAGTACCGCAGTCTCTTCTCCTAAGTCCTTTTGAATTCTCCTATCCACTATCCCTTAACCCGTGACCTTTCACTCAGATGGTCAAGGGGTAGGACGATAGGGTTAGAATTTAGTAGCTGATTTTTGGATATTTGACCGCAACCCAGGTCTCCCAGCTCTGTGCGTCACTCTTTAGTGTCCCCTGG